GTTCTCTTATTTGTTCCATATGATCGATAAAATCCTTCTAATTCAATAGAATAACTATTATTTAAATGTAAAACGTTGGGAATATATGAACAATGATTGTGGATTTGTTTAATCGAAGTAAAATTATCTAATTGTGATTCTAATAATAAATTTGTTAAATTCATCTCGAATGATGTTTGAAGGTCATCAATAATATCTGGAGCTATATACAATTGACATGAATGTGTAAGTGATAAACCATAAGCTGATGCAAACAGAAATAAACAATTCCCAAGTCGACCAGCACGTCCACGTAAAATAATACGACATTGTTTAGTATCATTAAATAAATTATTACTCTTCTATACTTGTACATCGTGTACAGTTCGTGAATAAATATTTAACATAAAAAAAATCATAATCGTAATAACGATCAAACCTATTACTTTTAAAGTTTGTTTTGCATCCATTTTTTGTCGTAATAAATATTTTAATAAAATAATCTAAAAAAATAAACAATAGAACTTAATAGTAGTAGATCAATGACATTATTATAAGTGTTAAATAAACAGTACTATTTGAAATTCTTCTTTATTTCTAATGCTTTCATAGTTTTGCTATTGCAGTCATTTTTTATAATGTTAACATGTGACTAATAAATTTGTTTCTAAATGATAGCTAGGATTTAATCGATCCGTAAAATAAATTACTTTAACAGTTAGTCATACTAAAGAATCAGTGGAAAAGTCGAAATAGATAATAAAGTGTGTTCGACTTGTCGTTTGTTTTCTTTGTTTCTTTGTTTCTTTCTTTGCGTTCTGTGTAACTTCCTTTCTTTCTCTAGTTTAACTATAAAAGACTGACTAGATAAATTTATTCTAAATAATACAGAAGATAATGAATACACAAAACGTTGTTCCAGATATGAGCGAATCATCCGATGATGAAGCGGAAACAAATGTTAAAGTATTTGTTACATAGTTAACAATATCTTTACAACTATGGACTTCTTCATACCAATGGACTAAAACTACTAAAGAAATTATCTGTATTCAAAATGATGCTTCGAAACAATATTATATACCAGCACATAATTTACAATCTATTTCTCAAATTGATTTAAAAAGATGCATTAAACAAAAATGGACTAACCTCAAATTGTTCGAAAAGTCATATACTGTTTGGTGTTTAGAAATGATGGATGATTTAAATTGAAAAAAACATCCAAATGTAGTTGTCCGAGTTTTCTTAAAGATTACATATGTAAGCATATGGTTAGAATGGCTATTCGTCTGAGAATTTGCAAAGCACCTGTAGCAGCGAAAGCCAAACGTGCATTATTGGTGGAATGATTCAATGCTAGTGTCTTTATTTCTATTTCTTTTTTTTGTTCTATATTATACTTCATGAGTAAATAGATTTTCTACTGGTAATTTCGTCTTATTTACTGATCGAACTTTCTTTTCTTACTTATCAAAATTTTACTTTTTACTGCTAAAAGATGATTTTATTACTAGTAGTTTATTTAAAAAACTGATCGCTTTCATATTATCTACTTGTAGTTTAAATACTGATCGTTTCATCTTTTCAACTGATCAAATATTTTGTTGCCTTTGAAATATATCTATATTTTTCATCTGAAGTATATTATTACAGCAGAATATGAGAAAAGAATGATCATTATTTCTTTTTAGTTTTTTAGCTAATATCGTATGTTATACACTTAAATATAAAATATAAAATTTAGAAGAAGATTTTTCGATAACATAGTACGTCAATTATACGTCATAGTTGACGATTTAAAGTTGAAATTCATCTATCTGATACACTTAACAAGATACAAGACACAACAGCAAGATTCTTTAGTAATAATCTTTGTTCAAATATTTTTTTTCTCGGTTTATTATAACAATTATTAAAATTTTATACTTGATATTTAGAGATAATAATTATTTATTTGCAAATCTATACAAAATGTAGAACAATTAGATGTTATATATTCTCTGTTTTCATTGTATGTGATATATGAAATAAAATTCACATTTACTTTGCTAATCTCAATATTTTTTAGTCAATTCCTGTTACTAATAAAGTTGATTACTAAGAAATAATTCTTATATCTTGAAAAGAAATTTACAAATTCAAAAGATTTGAGCTTCTATGATAAAAATTATAACGTCTTTGAAAGTTAAAACAACATTTCAATCAACTATGTTATTTCTGATTATTAAGAAATAAAATAATTGTAGCAAGAAAACTGGAGTTTATTCATTTTAAAATATCTTGAGATTAAGTTTATGATACTTAAAACGTCTTACTTTTATTACAATAATTTGTGTCCTGCATTGATTTTATTATTCATCTTACTCGGATATAGATAACATTAAAATGTTATAATGATCTTGTTTGCGATTTCTCACGTGAAAGATAGAAGTGTAAAATACTCTATATTCAATGACGAAGAATATTAAAATATTTTTTTTATAGAATTGTTCGATTTCAATGCTTGTTTACCAAAGCTGCTATCCCAGTTTTTACCCTATCACCGAATCGATCACGAATACTAGTATCTTCAGCAGTTTTATTAAAACCACATCCCGGCATTGTACGTGTTTGATTCATCAATATATAATGAGCAAGTGTTATGTAATTTTCTAAAGGCTGTTCTTTAGAGAGTCCAATTAGTTGCTGATGAATTGATAAGTACTGAATAAAACGCGATCGATACAAATACTTTTCACGTCCATTTTTATATACATTACGTGCACAAAAACTAAATCGTTCAATAGTTAAACGATTTGTGTCTTTCTCTTCCGAAGTATAACTACTATAGTAATAAAATCAAACAGAATATTAAAAATTAATTACAGTTTTTCCTTCTTCTTTATTATTTTACTGTTGATTTAATAAGAAAACGTAAAAGATAAAATTTATTTCTAACTGAAATATTTTAAATCATTTTTACTTTATTTGTATTTTTTCATTGACAAATTTTTATTTCACAAAAACAAATCAACAAAATCTTTTTCTCATTTTCAATTTTTGTTTTCTTTTCGAATTAAACATTTGTCAATTCGTTTCAATAAAAATCTCAATTCGGAAAAAAAAGTTTTAAATTGTTTTTTTCTTTTTAAATAAGATATTTCTTCATTTCATTTGACGAAATTTCACTCAATAAAATAATAAAAGATTTATTGTTATTAAAATTCTTTTCAGAATGCAACAAATAAAATTTATCTTCTAATTAAATATTTTTATTAAAACTTCATTCAAAAATTAATCTTCTCTTTTCTTCTTCTTCTTTTCATCAGGATCTTTTGTTTTCATTATTTCCTAGAACCAACATTCAACAAGTGGAAATAAACAAGGAGAAAAATCAAATCAACTCAATATGCCTTTTGAAATCTTTATTGATGAAAAGAAAAGTATTTTCATAACTGATTGTTGGAATCATCGTATTGTTGAATGGAAATATAATGCAAAGGAAGGGCAAATCATTGCAGGTGAAAATGACAAAGGAAATCGAATGGATCAATTGAATATGCCAACAGATGTGATTGTTGATCAACAGGGTGTGGGTGGGTGTGGATGTGGATGTGGATGGGTGTGGGTGTGGGTGTGGGTGCGGGTGTGGGCGTGGGTGGGTGGGTGTATCGGTGTGAATGTGCATGTTATCTGTTGTGTATAACACACCCACACCCACACCCACACCCACCCGATTTTTCACGGTTTTCCATTATTTTCGAGTAAATGTGAAGAGGATGCATTTCTACGAGAAAGAGCTAAGCGAGTCCTCGGACGAGCGTTACTTGTTTTGTTTAGTTGAAATTAGTTATGAATAAGCAAATAACTCTTTTTTTCTTCTTCTCTCTTTTTATGAATATCAATAATTTTAAAATGATGTAGATTCTCTTTGTTTACTGTATGGTGTATATAGTGACAAAACATACTGTAGAAAAGTATGAAAATAAGATGTTAATCACTGTTCGATCTTGTTGTCCATTTCTGGTCCAATCAATTGTTTGTTATTAGAAAAAAAAAACAATGTGTAAACTACAATAAGTATTAATGATGTCTTAATGATGATGACATCGGAAGCTTGAATTTTATTTTATAGTTTAATAAAAAAGTATATGCTTATTATAATAAAAAAATGACTTATTTTTCTTTTCGTTTTCTCAAATTATATAAACAAGAGCATCGTTAAATTTTTTCACAATTTCCATCCGTTTTTTAACATCCCTATACTAAAGATAAAAAGAAAATAGAAAATAATTTTATACTTTTTCTTATCATCGATATACAAGTTTATTCCAAGTTTTACGTGTCGGGAACGACCAGGTGTTTCAAGATACGTCTAAGAATAAATTAATTAATTAAAAAACTTTTTATGAACATTTAATTTACTTCGAAGTATACGATGAACTCTGTTTGATTGCTTGTTAACATTACACTCATTTTCTTACCATTGGTTTTATTTAAACATATCATTGGTTTGGTATTAGTTTCATTTTTAAAACGATCAAGTAATGAATACCCAGGTCAAACAATCCGGCACGGAAACGGCCGGTTCCATGATATTTCGGAGATTTCATAGAAGCAGTATTCCCGTTAAACGGATCCGGTGATCGGATTTATCTGGTTTGGACCGGAGCCGATAGGAACATGTCAAAACCAGCAGTCAGATACGGTTACCTCACTTCTCCATCGGATTCCTGGCATTTTACGGGCTGGTTTCGCCCAGAAATGGCGAGTTTTCTCAAGGATTTTGCCGGAAATTCATTGAATTCTGCTTCAGGAACCATCGTCGTGGGACGAAAGATAAAAAGAAAATAGAAAATACTTTTATACTTTCTCTTATCATCGATATACAACTGTAGTTCGAGTGGTATGTATCGAGAACGACCAGGTGTTTCACCATATGCCTAATAATAAATAAATTAAAAAACATTTTATGAACATATTTAATTTACCTTGAGGGTGTCAGTGTGAGTGCTAAGTGAATACAATATCCATACCCACACCCCTCAAGATTGTTTTACATCATTATCAACAGCAACGCATTGCTTTGCATCATTGTCAGCAGCAGCGCATTGCTTTATATCAGAATGATGATCAGCGCATTGTCTTACATCATCATCAGCAGCAACGCATTGATTTGCATCATTGTCAGCAGCAGCGCATTGCTTTGCATCTTGAGGGTGTGGGTGCGGGTGAGGGTGTGGATGAGCGTGTGTGGGTGAGGGTGTGGGTGTGGATGAGCGTGTATGAGTGTGGATGTGGGTGTGGATGAGCGTGTGTGAGTGTGGGTGTGGGTGTGGATGTGTGTTAGAGAGAGGGAATCGAGAGAGAGAAAAAGAGAGTGGTGGTGTGCGAACCTGAATAATTCGCTATCTAACTTTTGTTTTATTTTGTATAATCGTGTACATATATATGCTTTAATAACAAAGAAAAGAGAGATGAGAGAGACCTAAGATGATATCATATTATATATGATATCGTCCAGGTCTGCCCTCTAACATACTCCCATTGAGAAAAAAACAGTGTTCATAATGTAAAAAAATACAAAAAATTTCAACTGAGAAAAGAGAAAAGAAAAGAAACTAGTGTAACCAAAAGTGATGTCCATAACAATAAAATAAAAAGTAATATCAATAACAACAAAAAAGGAAAAAAACCCGTAAATATGCCTGGCGTTGCTAATGAAGAGAAAACAACATTTTGACGATTCCATTTAATCACTGAATTACTAACATCGGGATACCTTGAATCATGTAGTTGAGATATTGTTATTGATGTAACTGGTTCATCTAATATAGATGTCCATGATAAATAATGTACGTATAATTGGTTCATTTTAATATAAATGATTCGTCATATAATAATAAAGAATTTTTTAATTCCAAATGATATAATACATTTTCTTTTTTTTTTTTTGTTTATAAAAATATAACAAAATTTTTCCCAATCATGTGGGTATCTTATAAGACCAACAATAGGAACATGTGCAGGTGGAGGTTGTGGTGAATCATTTTCATCATCAAATGAAATATTTTCTAATTCATAATTAAATAAATTCTTAATTTTAAAATTAAAATTATTTTGTTTCATATTCATTATAATTCGTTGCATTGCAATACAATCGTTTATTGCATACTTGGTTAATTTTTCTCAGTAAGATAATTCATCAGAATTCATTGTAAATAAATTATGATCAAACCGATATTAAATTTTACACACGTTAATTCTTTCGGTAAATATTCTTTGAATGAATATAAAATTCCATCTTGTAAGGACCATGTGTGTGATGTTTCTTTTCCTAAACATCGTTCACATAAACAACCATCATTAATAATTTCATCGGATTTTTTCTGGTGAGGGTGTTGTTGTGTCCAATGTTGTTTAAATTTTAATTGTAGATTAATAATATTTATATTATCAATTTGTTCTTGTTTAAATAATTCAAATGTTGTAAATGGGTCAAGTTCATGTTTAGAGCCCCACATAAATATTTGTTTATCTTTTGAAAACAGAATTTGGAATAAATTTTGTATTAATTTGAATCGAGGATCATTTTTGTTCGGCAAGTGGTGCATTTCAATAAGAATGACAAGTGATAGATTGTAAGGTAAAAGAATTTGCAATTGAATGAGTGCCGGTTTGTTACTTTGTTTGTATATATTATATGATTCTGTATCTATAGTAAATTCCATTGAGGGTGTGGGTGTGGATGTGGGTGTGTGTGGGTGAGGGTGAGGGTGTGGGTGTGGGTGCAAAGTGAATACAGTGTCCACACCCGCAAAATTTTTTTATGATTACGGAATGTACTAATTAGCTGAATAAAATGATGATCTAATGCTTTTGCAATTGGGAAAAATTGTTTGCTCTCATCTACTGCTTCAATAAAATTGATTGCAATTATTTCATCAAGAAACGTTAATAAATGACATCCAATATCCTGATTCAATTCAACGAATGTGTTTTTTTCCATAATAGGTAAGAAGCTAAAAATTTTTAAAAATTAAATGGTAAAGATAGGTATCTAAAAATATTTATAAACATGTTAATGTTATCAAATGGCATGACAATGATCCGTCTATCTCATCAATCATTAATATTTACATTCTGTTTTTTTGCGATCTTTCCCAATCGTTTAACATTTCTTTTTCTTTTCCTTTCTATGAAATACCATTGGTCTATTATATTTATACGCTCTAATTTTCATAATCGAAGTCAAGAATAGTATCCAATATATATTTAACTCTTATTCCAAATTGTAAAATAGGTCACATTCATGTTTGAATAATGATTGGTGTTTTGCTGATTATTCGATAAAAAATAATGTCACAGTGTATAGTCTGATATCATCTGCTTTTGAAGCGGCTGGTTGATGTACTTTATTCTTTCATGATAAACACACTCGCAACTGAAGCAAAAATAATTAATTATAATGTGTTGAACATTTCGAATGCCACTATTTGTTCCTACAGATTGTCCTGTACGTTGTCTTTTTGTGAAGTGAATACCAACTATTTATTTTAATTCATTTTATTATTATATACATTTTCGTTTATTTAATATTTCATGCAAAACTACCACTACTTTCTAAACAACTTTTCAACACGAGAGATAAATTTACAATCTTTTTATTTTTCTACTGTAATTTTTTTCTTTCCAACTTTAAAATTTTTTGAAGCTTGTGTATAACCAGGACAAGAGTGATTTGTCTCGATTTTTGTCTTATCATTTACATTAATTATAACACGGATACGGCCACAGCGAAGACATAAAAGGGTTCGCTCAGGTGTGGGTGTGGGTGAGTATCCATGTATGTGAATTATGATGATCTACAATCATCCTTACATCCATACCCACACCCACTACATCATCTATCGGATACTACCGACAGACAAACAAAGAGACAGCTAAATTGATGCTTTTATACCTTGTTCCTGTAGTGACAATGACTCTCTACCAAAATTAGATCAAATATCTCTTCTTGTTAATCTAATAACTGTTATAATTTATAGATCACATGTGTAAGTAATACTAGTCCTCATATTCTTCTTTTATTTAAATGAAATAGAATATTTAATTAAAAAATAAATTAAAAGCAAAAAAAATAAAATAGAATCATTTTATATATTTAATTTACTCGTCCAATTCCATTAGTTTTGGCCAGAGTTGTTCGCATTGTTCACGAACGTTACTTGATGATACAATACGTAGATGTACACAAATCAATTCAAAGCATGCTATTGATGTTTTATCCATAAGAGAAGAATAATTTTCATTTGCCAATGCTCTAAGAAAAAAAACGCCATTTATTAGTTCGTTTTGTAAAAGAAACAATAAAATATTACTTGTAAAAATCAAAATGTAAAATACCTGGTGGTTGATATTCAACAAAAGGCTTATAAAGTCGCATAGATGCACCCTTAAATAAAATCAAAATTGGCAATAGAGAATAGAATTAAATTATTTAAAAATTGAGAGATCGTACACATCTTGCGAATATAGACACTGTCTCAATTAGTTACCTATAAGCTTCGAGATAAACTTATAGCCTATTAAATATTTTAACGAATCAAATATCATTTTCGAATTTTGAGAATATTACAGATTGAAAAAATCATTACATACATTACTTTCTTGTAAACGCAATGTATAATTATATTGAAAATGTTCATCAGTCATTGTGTATGACGTACAACCTCGTTTCAATGCTGAAAGACATTCCAACTCAAAAGCTAATATCTATAGAAAAATAAAAAATCATATTTTAAACGAAAGATATTTTAAATTTCTGAAACTTTTTTTTCTAAAATTTGTTCTATTCCATCTGTTTTAGTATTTGTTGCTGCATAATGTTGATAATCATTTGTATATAAAGCTGGCGCACAAATTTGTCCACGTAAACGATCAATAAATGCAAAATGTACGAGACCTGGAAAATTGTCATGACAACTAAAATACATATATATATATATTGTGACGTGATAAACTAAAAAGAAATACAAACAAACTCATTGTAATATTTCGTTGTGATTTAATTTCAATAAATGAAAACCAGTCTCCTAAATGTTCAGTTAATTTGTTTCGAAGAATTTGTATTAATGGTGATTCAATTAAATTATCTTCATTCATTGAAAAATCGTTTTGTTGATCACTGGTATTTGTTGTAAGAGCATATTCATCAATATCAAAAAATAAATTATGAAATACTTGAACTGAATAGTCATTGGTTTTTTTTAAATTTCCTAGAATTTGATTACTTCTATTAATAAAAATATAATATAAATTTAAAAAATAAAAGAAATATTTCTATAAGATGAATTACTTATGATTATCTTCATCCATAATATCAGGTTTTTTTGGTAAAGATTTATATATAGTTTGTGTTTCATTTAAAATAATTGATAGAATATTTGGTCGATTCTTTTTACTTTCAAACTAAATAGCATAATTTATTAATAAAGTTCTTTTTAGTCATAAATTTCTTACATAACGTCGAATAGTTCCGTTATTTTCTACAGATTTAATATAATTATTTAATCGAGTATATGAAAACCGTGATTGACTTTGACATAAATTAAGATGATGAATAAGTTCAAACAAATAGGAACAAGCTAAACTGCTTTTCCACTAAAATTTAAATATAAAAAATTATTCAAAATTGAAAAAAATTTTTTTAATTAAATTGACTGCCATCATAATTCAAAGATCAGACTTTCATGTAGTTCTGTCTTTATTATTTACTAGTTTTTTCAAATTTATTATATACAAAAATAATTCTCGAGATAGATTTGTTTTTAATCGCTTGCAATACGAAGATTTAAGGCTATAGAATCCGCATACACATAGATATAGGGATGCAACGGTGACGGTAACCGTTCCATCTTGGGGGTTTAGATGTGGGTATTTATTTCATCTATCACTTGCGTCCACCCCATACTCACACCCTCAAGATACTTACTAACCTTCTCTGACTTATACTTTTAAGATATATTATTGAACTTACTTCAATAAGAATAAGAACAGAAATATCATTAGTTAATGATATCGTATACATAGTAAATGGTGCCAGAGGTCTTGTTAATGTTTTCATAAATATGACTTCAATTCGACGAGTTTCAGTTGTTTTTGTTATTTCTAATTTAGGAAAAGTTGGTAAAGAAACTGCCTATTTTATAGAATTAAATCTTATAATGAGAATAAACTAGCAAAATAATTTACTCGTCTAGTTTGTAAAGTATGAAGATCTTCCATTGATCCTCTTGCTGAATTTGATAAATTTTGATTATTAGTATCAAGATTTGTTTTATATATATGAGCCATTATTTTTGATGATTTATTTTTTTGTAATTTAAATTCATCACGTAATGGTCGACTTGTATTATTTAATAATAATAAAAATAGATCACTATTACTTAATCGATTTTGATCATTACTAAAAAAAATTTTTATAAAATAAAATAATTTATTCGATATATTAATTTATAAACCTTGAATGCATATACACAATTTTATCTTTGCATGTAATCATCATAATTGTCGGAAGAGTATGAAGTGAATTTTGAACTTCATTTGTGATCGCTAGACAAGTATCTAGACATTGTTGTCGAATTAATGGATTAATATATAAATATTCACAAGTCTATTTTTTGAATAA